TGTTAAAATTGGCCTAAGAATGAACACCAATTTGGCATTTATGATAATTCTTAATGTATTTTTTGCGATAATTATCAGTATTTAGATTGTGACAGACATTTCTAGTTAAGTAAGCTATATTAAAAAGTTAAAAAATAATCTGAGACAATAAGTACCATTTACGTGTATAATCTATGACAGCGCTGCAAACAAAAAAAACTCTCTCTTCCTAATGCCGGCACTTCACTTTTCTATTCGTGTTTGCTATTTGAAAACTTGACATCAGTCTGTTCTTTTCATTCCTTGTTAAGCATGACAAGGACAGACTGTTGTTGACAGAAGGGCTGGCATAAAACTCGATATTCTGTGGTTGTGGTGCAGGCAGTTTGCGTAGTAGTAATCTGTGGTAATCGTGCATTATGCGCTAGCATCACTATCACTGTAAATTTATAGTTTGTGGGTGCATTGTCATTTCGGATTACCTGTTGTGTGTGTTTATTTGCGATTGTTTTTCCTTTAATTTAACTATTTCGGCTATCTTATATGCCATTGATGTTACCAAAGAGCAGAGACCTTATTATCGAACCTGTGCCACAACATCCTAAGAGGATCATACTGCCAAATTATTCAAGAGCGCCTTATACACATTCACGCTGCATATTTACACACTATCTATGTGATATACAAATAAATACAATATAAATTATGTACAATTATGTGAAAATAGTCAATAAATAAGAAGCAAAACTGCAGTTTTTATTTTATTCATGATTCCTACCTAACCAAGTTTTTCCTAATATGTAGTTATTCTTAAAATCGCACCGAAGAAAAATGAACTAGTTGTAATATTAATTCATTTCATACATAGGTTGACCTATATTTCATTTAATATCAAACATAACCTCAAAAAATATTAAGTTTACCTAATAATTTAAGTTCTCAGAAGTCTCCTTCAATAATCTTTGTTTTTACAGTCATTTACTTGCAATTTTGACGACCTCCGTGGCCGAGTGGTTTGTACGCCGGGTTTCATGGCTGTCGCTGACTCGAGAGGTCCCGGGTTCGAATCCCGGTGGGGGCAGATGTTTGTGTGATGAATACGAGCATTTGTACTCCAGTCATGGATGTTTAATATGTATTTATATAAATATACTTATATATGTACAATATATGTATTCTATCCGTTACCCTAGCATCCCATAACACAAGCCTTATAGTGCTTACTTTGGGGCTAGGCTAATTGGTGTGAGTGTCGGAAATATTTATTTATTTATTTATTAATTTCGAACCTAGAAAATAATATCTCATGATTGTTGGTTCTTAGGCTAACAATGTATGGACGCAGAACAATGTACTTTACTGCCCTTTTTCACGGGTAGAGTTTCAAAAAACCCTGATACATGTTATTCTTCATTTCAGGTCTTAAGTATAAATACTGCGTTTTAAGTTAATCGAAGTGTGCGTTAAAATTTATTTACATTAAAACTTGGGCACCCCCCGATCTCCCCTTTAGAGGTAGATTTGGCAAACCAAAAATGAAAAACTTTGTAATTTATTTAGATAAGTAATCGTACCAAGTTTTAAGTCTAATAACTTAAAGAATAAGATTTTTCATACAAACTTTCATCCCCTATATTAAGCCTTTCGGGGGTGAATTTTGAAAAATCCTTTCTTAGTGCACCGCTTGACCTCAAAAGGAATATACGAGCCAAATTTTAAGTCTCTAAACCTAGCGGCTTAGGATGTGCGTTGATTGTCAGTCAGTCAGCCACTCAAGTTGACGGGAGATTTATCAAATGAAAATAAGATTTTTTTCCGCAATATTATCAATATACTGAATTGGAAAAATAAATATTTTAAATCGAAAAAATTACAGCGTATTTGGGACAATTATGTATGGAAAAACTTACCTTATAAAAGGTAAGTTTCTCCAAATTTCGTGAGAAGAAAAGTTTTTTTGTGGGAGATAATAATAAAAAACCATAAATTCGTTTATTTATATTTTTTGCAGATATGTTTAAAGTTATCACGCTCAAATCGCTTAATTAATATTACCATTTGGGAAAGGTTTCGTCCTGTTCCGAAATGTCCGAAAAAAAATTTGAGTTTACTTAAGCACTCTTCTATAACTGTAATTTCATTAGTTGGACCTGTAAGTGAATGAAAAGGTAGGGCAAGACAGCATAGGGCGCATATCCATAGTTGGCCTGGGGCGGCCAGATCGCTAAATCGGGCCCTGTAGACTGAATAAACATTTAAAGAGCATTGAAACTAGTCTCAAAATTTTATTTGAACATAAGTACCTAATGGCAATCTGAAATTTAATCACTTGGTATTCAGACTTAATTTATTTAATTAGTTAATTAAAACAAAACAAATTTTAACACCCATCTTAATGTAAGGATGACATTTAGTTCTTCGAAAATTTATCTTATCTATCTATATACCTAGTCAGGTCATAAATTCTGTCACATGTTTAATATAAGTAATTGAAACAAGTTTATTCATTATGTAACCATTTATATACCAAAATGAACTTATCAAAACATAGATTCTTATGACAATAAAGTTTATTCAAAATGACCTCCGTGATTTTGAATACAGGCCTTCAATCTGCGCGGCCAGTCGTCTATCGCAGCACGAACGAGGTCCATGTCAATATCGGGGGCTGCCTTAATCAAGGATGTCTTGAGTGACTCCAAATTGGGATGAGGCTTTGAGCACGCCTTTTCCTCCAAGTGTTGCCATATCTTGTAATCTAACGGACTCAAATCTGGACTGGAGGAAGGCCAGTCTTCGTGCCGGTTGAAGTCGATTTCACAGTCGATTTTCAGTCTTGTGTGCTCTTCGCTCTATGAGCTGGCGCCGAATCTTGTTGGAATACCCAGTGCCTATTATTGAACGTGGTATGAGAAACAGGTTCTACAAGGTTCGTCAGGACTGTATTTTGTTACGAAACTGCATTCGTATGTACCTCTGTTAAGCCCCAATAAGAAACTCCCAACCATACCATGAGCAAGGATGAAAAATGACCTCGTTGGACACACGGAATACGGTTGCTCGCTTCTTCACTACTGTGTGCGTACACCTTATCATTTTATTTGTTGTAGCTCTCTTCTAAGTTAAAAATTTTTTCATCCGAAAAAAGATTTTCGCGATATTTTTTTCCCGCGTACCGCTTCAACAAAGCGCGGCATCTCTTCAGTCTCAGGTCCATTAGACGAGCATTCAAACGATGTCCTGTTTTTCTTCGATATACCCGAAGCCATAAGTCTTCATTTAACACCCTTTTCACCGTGGTTTTGCTTAACCCCACCTGAAGAGCCAGCAGTTTCTCTTTGAATTCGCGCCTTTACAGCTTTTATCACTGCTGGAGTCATATCAGACCGAGGGCGACCACTTCTTGACCTGTCATCTGCACTAGAGTCTTCATTGTATGGTTTGTTGGTACGATAAACGAATCTTTTGGTTATATTCAAATTTTTATTAACCGCAACGATGCAACGCAATAACTAAGTTATGTTAACCGCAACGATGCAACGCAATAACTGCAACACGGTCTTCTTTAAGCGTCCACTCCATATTTAAAAATGAGTAGAATTCTAAAAAGTATAAATTTTTATTTTCAGGAAACAATTCGAAATTCGAATTCAATAAACTTTTTTGTGGCCAGCATTCTAAAAGAAAATTTTTACTATGTGACAATACTTATGACCTGACTATGTATATGTAAAAATCTATTTTAACTCATACGAAGTAGTACAGTCAATCTGTAGGTTGAGTGGTGAAAAAAAACCTAAGGGTAAGTCTTGTTTTTTCTGTTGCCAAATGACGTCAGTAAGCCACCTTGTCGATGGGCATGTTCAACTCGTAGGCGTTTTTTGAAAAACTCAAAAAAACACTCAAAAATTTTTTGAAACGCATTTTTCTTGTTTTGTATGCATTTTAGAAACTTTTTGCGACCATAATTGTAGAGGGCGTTGAGTACTACAATTTGTCATTGTTGCAATCTCGTACAACAAAAAATGCGCATTGTAGGTGGCGCTAACGTCTCAAAAAAAGTGTTTTTTCACCCTGAAAATATCATTTTAATGGTAAACTTTAAATGGAAAAGTTGTTCCGTACATAATTACCAACAACTTTTGTATAAACATTTTTTTTGTATTAGGTAAGTAATATATAGTTTTCAAGTTAGTTTTACTATTTTCTATTTTTTTTCATGATTGTAATAATTTACTAATGTACTTTGTGAATAGAGCAGATGGCCGAATTGGCCCACTGTGTTGGCACTCACTGTGTTGTATACGTAGCGCTGTATTGCACTGTAACTTGAAAACTGTATAAAAATATTGTTTATGCAAAAGTTGTTGGTAATTATATACGGAACAACTTTTCCATATAAAGTTTTCCATTAAAATGATATTTTCAGGGTGAAAAAGTAAAAAAACACTTTTTTTGAGACTTTAGCGCCACCTACAATGCGCATTTTTGTTGTACGAGATTGCAACAATGACATAAATTGTAGTACTCAACGCCCTCTACAATTATCGAAAAAAAAGTTTCTAAAATGCATACAAACAAGAAAAATGCGTTTCAAAAATTTTTTGAGGGTTTTTTGAGATTTTCAAAAAACGCCTACGAGTTGAACATGCCCATCGCCAAGGTGGCTTACTGACGTCATTTGGCAACAGAAAAAACAAGACTTACCCTTTAGGTTTTTTTTTTCACTGAAACGATTTTTTTATTCGTCAGATTGACTGTACTAAAGTACGCGGGGTCATCTAGTATTTTATAAAAATTTAATCCCATTTTCCTTGATCACACCATTACCTACTTGTGAATGGTTTTACCCATTTTACATTACATATCTTTTTTAAGTTAAGTCATACTCTGTAGAAGTTGCGCAGGGGATTTGACTTGACATACAATTCAAACCGATAGGTGGCACGGACAATATAAAAGGTGTTTTAGGTGTTTTGCGCGTATTTTTATTATGTAGCTTTATTTTTCTTAAATATACTGATGGACTTAACATTTTGTTCTAGGTTTAGATTTTACGTTTACTCCGCGTACGTGGAGCGGCGCACGGTGGCGCTGGTGCGAGTGATAGCGGCAACGAAGACCCGCGGCTCGGACGCGGTGGTCTGCCGGCTGTGGCTACCAGACAACAGGACGCTTACGTTGAAAGCGAGGGTCAAGGTACGGTGCCTACAGAAATAAATAAATATTATATTTGTGTATAATAAATAAATAGATTATCAGGTTGAGATTTTACGTTTACTCCGCGAACGTAGAGCGGCGCATGATGGCGGTAGTGCGAGTGATAGCAGCGATGAAGTCCCGCGGTTCGGACGCGGTCGTCTGCTATCTGTGGCTGTCTGACAACCGGACGTTCACGCTGAAAACGAGGGTCAAAGTACGGTAGCAGTGGATATAAATGAATTGATTATTAGGTTTAGAGTTTACATTTACCCCGCGTACGTGGAGCAGCGCATGATGGCGGTAGTGCGAGTGATAGCAGCGATGAAAAAGACCTGTGTCTTGGACGTGGTCGTCTGGTGGCTGTGGCTGCCTGACAACCGGATGCTCTCGCTGAAGCCGATAGTCAAGGTGCGATGCTAATGCAAGAATAGAAATTAAATCATCTTTATAAGAACATACATAATATATCACAATTAATGAAAGTCTCACAAGACTTGATGCTACCAAAGGAGCTGGTCTCGATGGGGTTCCCCCTATTTTTGTGGTTAACTGTGCGCCATCGATAAGTTTCCCACTTCAGCTTATTTATAACACATCTTTAAGCACTGGTACTTTTCCAATGAAGTGGAAATCAGCCAAAATAGTTCCCATGCACGAAAAATGTGATCGGTCTGAAGTAACAAACTATCGGCCGATTTCGATACTCTCAACATTCGCTAAGGTCTTCGAGGCGTTGATATGTCCCCATAAATGTAGTATCACATGAAGCAACAGCTTACCACTTTCCAACACGGTTTCATGAGTGCCAGATCCGTTAACACTAGCTTGACCACTTTCATCAATAGCGCAGTTGATGCTATGGATAACCCAGATCAGTGAGACGCCATTTACACTGATTTTTCAAAGGCATTCGACCGCGTGTCTCATAAAATTTTATGTACGAAGCTTCAGTTGTGTGGATTCAATGGTGCTATGTTGTCCTGGCTTAAATCATACTTAAGCAAAATCATACTTTATGGTCCCAGTACGTAGTAATGAAAGGGTTTCGGTCCGACCCCTATTTCCTTCAAAGCAAAACTATCAACGCATTGGCGTTGTCTGTATTCTAGAAGTGGTCACATTGATAGGTTGATGATGAACAACTGAACACGTAGGTATAGGTCGCGGCAAACTTCTTGAGCAACCCACAGACAAAAGAACATGCGCAGTAGATGTTTTGGTATGTTAAATTTTCTATGGTCGATGCTTAAGAAGTTTGCCGAGGTGTACTTTATCTGGTGTTCCCCAGGGATCACACATTGGCCCTTTGCTTTTTAACATCTACGTCAATGATTTACAGGATGTAATTCATCATAGCGAGGTTTATCTATTTGCGGACGATCTCAAACTCCTTAAAGTAATCATAAGCACTTACGATTCCGCATGCCTTCAGTCTGATGTTGACTGTCTGGTCGACTGGTGCGAACGGAATAGTATGATATTGAATGTGGACAAATGTTATAACCTAATATTATCGCGCAAACAAAAAACAATCAACACTGTTTATAGTATAGGTGGTAGGTGCCTTACACAAGTTGACCAGGTGAGAGATTTGGGTGTTAGGATCGATTCAAAACTAACATTCCTTCCACATATTGACGATATTATCTCTCGGGCTTCTAGAATGTTAGGCTTCATAATAAGGAATGGAAAGGTTTTTCGAAATCCTTCGACCAAGATACTCCTATTCAACTGTTACGATCGTAGTATTCTCGAGTATGGAAGTCTTGTGTGATCTCCGCAGTATAATACCCACGAGTTACGTATTGAAAGAATACAAAAGCGCTTTACGAGGCATCTGGCTTTTGTTTGTGGTAAGACTCGGACCTTGCTTTGGTACTCTGATCGACTGAATCATTTCAAAATGGATACCCTGAAGACACGACGAAAACTATTTGAACTTATGTTTCTTTACAAAGTTGTTAGGAGTAAATTGGACTGCCCCCAACTCTAGAATCTTTTCAATCTTCGCATCCAAGTTAGGCCCCACGTCATCCCATAACTGCCTTGTTCCGTACTCCGTTTGCTCAGTCGAATCTGCGCAGTCATAATGCCATTTACCGTCTTTCGAGCACGTACAATTCTCTTTGTCAGTCAGTCGATATATTTCATGACAGCATTTCAAAATTTAGGAAGGAAGTACTGCGGTGTTTGCTATCTATGAAATAGCTTAATCATAATCATCGAATAAAATATTTCAATTTTAATAATTAAAACAATGTAATTTATGATTTTTTTTTTAAGCATTTAATGTAATTTATTCCAATTCGATTCAATAAATGTAATGTATTTCAATTTAATTCAATAAATGTAATGTCTTTAAATGTAATTTAATCAATTTAATGTATTTCAATTTAATTTATTCAATGTTATGATTTCCTATGTTTAGTATATTTGTGTAAATTCAATTTAAATTTAATTTTTACTATGTTTTTATTAATTAAGATGAATAATGTAATTTTTAAAAATCATGTTGCTCATATATTGCATATTGTGGTCGCCTTAAATAGAATGTACACTGTTTCTTGTTTTTTGAAATTGGGATAGAGGTTAATTATTCTTTGTATCATTCACTGGTGATCCTTAATAAATAAATAAATAAAGACTACTACCAACCCTGAAAAATGTTTAGTTTATGACTATTTTACTTTTCTTTGGGATAATTTAAATGATGTGTTCTTTTATCTTTATTTAAGTAAAAACTGGTTGAATGATACTCCGAACAAAAACTAAGAATGACAAATCGATCAACGCACAGCCTAAACCGCTGGGAAAATTAATTTGATTTACGAGACTTCGCTAAAAGGTATTGTCTAGTAATTTAACTATTTTCAGAAATTCATTTAAGGCGTTAAAATCGGGGATTAAGTTTTTTTTAAAAACAATTATTTTTGTATTTAGTATATGTGTGAAAAAAGATAATATGTTGGCCATTGATTTCAATAAAGGTCTAAATGAATATAAAAATATCTCCGATTTAAAACATGTCCTTATGCCAGAATTGTTCAAGAAAACAAATATACCATCTAACCAAAATATTTCACTGATGGCCTGAAAAAGGTTTCATCATAAAACAAACGTGCTGTAGGCTGCGGTAGATCCACTCGCAGATAGCAGTAATTCTTTAAATCACTACACCCACTTCACTTGCAGGCGATCCGAGAGAACTGGAATCTGAAGTACAGTGCGACATACGTGCTTTGCCTGCTGCGTGACACAGGCGTGAAACCGCAGGACACGGTAGGGGCGTCAATATCCGTGCTATCAGCGAGTTCGCCGAACCGACCGCCCACTAATTTGCTCACCGTGCTGGACACGGAACCTAAAAGTGGTATAGAGGTAATTAGTTGATATTATTATCATCATGATCAGCCTGTTAATGTCGCCACTGCTGAGGCACAGAACTCTTGTATTGATGGAATAAGGGCATATAGAGATATAGATAGAATCTCCTAATTTGTGATGCTGCCCATAATGGTCCGTACTCACATACGTTTATTATTTGATAGCTTTGCTCTGAAACTAGTAAAAATATTGATTTTTACTAGTTTCATAGCAAAACTATCAACGCATTGGCGTTGTCTGTATTCGAGAAGTGGTCACATTGATAGGTTGATGATGAACAACTGAACACGTAGGTCGCGGCAAACTTCTTGAGCAACCCACAGACAAAAAAACATGCTCAGTATATGTTTTGGTATGTTAAATTATCTATGGTCGATGCTTAAGAAGTTTCCCGAGGTGTACTGGTACATACATAATGTATTCTTTTTATTCTTCAAATAACAATTCTACTACTTTTGTTCAAATAACTTGAACTCTATATAAAGAAAATTTTACACAATTATTATATCGGTAGCATCCCTAGTTCGGCGAACTGGTTGCTCGTATATAATTACATTATTTATGGTCGACCCTGAGCTAGTACAGGGTAATAACCAAAAGCCATCACAATGTATGTAAGTAATGTCTCTATTATACGAAAATGAGACTGTTATTTAATATTTACAGAAAGCCAGAGGTTAAGTTCTCTAAAAACGTTTTACAACTTTCTTTGAACTTATAAGTTATACTGACAATAGATTCTTAAAAGTTAACACTGTCAGGTAACTTGACGTGTTGTTAACTGTATTAATACCTAAATAAATACATTATCAAGTGGGTATCATAGGTGGGACACTGAAGAGAAGAGTCACCACAAGAACACTTATGCAGTGTTACCAAACATTATATTGGCGCGAAGCCAAAGGAGATAGTTGACTAGATTTAATAGGTAATAGGTATAGGAGCTCGATGGCGCAACTGGTTAGCGCGTTCGACTGCGATCGTTGAAGTTAAGCAACTTTCGCAGTGGTCGGTCATAGGATGGGTGACCAAAAATTTACTATCTCGAGCTCCTCCGTGCTTCGGAAGGCACGTTAAGCCGTTGGTCCCGGTTGCATTTGCAGTCGTTAGCACCCACCAATCCGCACTGGGCCCGCGTGGTGGGTCATGGCCCAATCTCCCTATTCCATCCTTAGGGAAGGCCTGTGCCCCAGCAGTGGGGACATTAATAGGCTGATGATGATGATGATGATGATGAATAGGTATAGTTCTATAATCTTTACAGGACATAAGAATGTGAAATCAAATGCAAATGATCGAATATTCTCATACCTCTTAGTTATTAAACGACAAATAAGGCTGTATCCTACTATTTACGCAGTGTTTTGTCCATATCAATAAAGTCAGAAACTTTCAGTGGTATAAGGAATAATAAATTAGAAATAATACGTAGAACTCACTAATATATCAGAATTAAATAAGAAAACAAAAGCCGCCTACTCCAGCCCACTCCAATTCGTTATCAAAGCGTAAACATTTCATGCGGATGATATAATTTTATTTTTGTCATTATTTGCGTGGTTGGATAGTTCATGGATTTACTACTTCTTAGGTAGAAGTTGTTTTATAGAACTAACATAATTATTACGGTCAATATTCATTAATGACTCCGTTTACCTCGCAATACAAAAATGCATACATCTGTTTCCACCAACAAAAAGTCTATCGAAAATGACAGAGGGCAAAAAAAATGAGCTCGCTCATTTCTAGAGAACGAAGCGAACTCGTTAATGAGTACTTTCAACTCGCAATCGAATTTTCCATAGTAGTGTTTACACCATGAAAGAAACGTGTGGAAATGACGAAAGAGTAAAAATGTGTCCGCTGCGTCGCAGCCAAAGAGTAGAGTTTGGTAGCAGTCTCGCCAACTGAGCTCGCACGCTGGGGAAATGAAAATTCATTTTTCATTTCTCATTTTCAGTTCATCTCGCTCAGCTCATTTCTTTTGCTCATTCCTCTTTGGCGGTAGAAATCAATCCTATTTTATGTACACAAAGACCGCTACGCTAGACTAGTTTCTTCCTCTTTAGCGGTGAAAAACGGGCTTATGTACAGACAGTCACACATAAAGATACCACAAACTCTCAAATTTTCCTTAATGTATTGTGATTTTGACGTTCTTGCTGTATCTTAGAAGCAAGCATTGCACCTAGGGACAGGCTAGTATTATTTTTTTAGTCTTGGTAAAATTGTACGCGGACTCAGTTTTCACATCCTTATGTAAAGCTTTAGATGGCCTAAGAATTCCCGAATTACAATATGCCCAGATGGGAAAAATTCCCAAAAAGAAAAAATGGTGTTGCACCAAGGGACGTATTCCTTTTTTTGAGTCTTGGTAAAATTGTACGGGAATTCAGTTTTCACATCCTAATGTAATACTTTAGATGACCTAAGAATTCTTGCGTGCTGTACACCGTTAATCGAAGCAGATGCTTCGATTAACAGTGTTAATGTCTTCGCTGTTTACAGCGACAGACAGGGGACCATTACGCAATTCGTCTTTAAGATTCAAAAAAGAGTTTCATTTTCAAATGCCGTTATTAGTTTTAAATATTATTATTCTAAGGTGGGCATCGCATTTGTGATACCCCTGGTGTCAACTGGTCAACTGGTATGCCCCCTATAATATAACAAAGTAGCTACTTCTGAACTTGTTGTACTTTATATCTTTTGTCTTATTAATGAATTAATCAATTGTTTTTTCAGGAAACCCTGCACATATGCGTGAAACCCTTCCACTTTTCGTACGCTCGGGACGATTGGTTGATAGAATGGTTCGAGCTGAATCGCCTGTTGGGCGCGAGCCACTTCTACATGTACAACGAGTCGCTGAGTGCGCCAGTCGGTTGTTTGCTGGACCACTACCGCAAGCAGGGGCTGGTGACGCTTCTGCCGTGGAAGCTGCCAATCATATCAAAAGTTGAAATAAGGTTAGATAGCACTTTGATCCACTTCTACATAGACAATGAGTCGCTGAGTGCGCCAGTCGGTTGCTTGCTGGACCACTAATGCAAGCAGGGATTGGTGACGCTTCTAGCACTTTGATCCACTTCTACATGTACAACGAGTCGCTGGGTGCGCAAGTCGGTTGCTTGCTGCACCACTGCTGCAAGCAGGGGCTGGTGACGCTTCTGCCGTGAAAACTGCTGATCATATCAAAAGTTGAAACAAGGTGAGATAGTACTTTGATCCACTTCTACATGTACAACGTGTCGCTGAGTGCACCAGTGGGTTGATTGCAGGATCACTGCCGCAAGCAGGGATTGGTGACGCTTCTAGCACTTTGATCCACTTCTACATGTACAACGAGTCGCTAGGTGCGCAAGTCGGTTGCATGCTGGACCACTACCGCAAGCAGGGGCTGATGAAGCTTCTGTCGTGAAAAATGCTGATCATATCTAAAGTTGAAATACGTTTAAATAGCACTTTGATCCACTTCTACGTGTACAACGGGCTGCTGAGTGCACCAGTCGGTTGCCTGAAAAAATAGTTCTACCTTACCTATGTCTATACTAAATAGTATGGATTTCGATTAGTATTACTAATATTATAAATAACAAAGCGTATCTGTCTGTGTGTTACCTCTGTACACTTAAACCACTGAACCGATTAAGATGAAATTTGGTATTTGAGACCTGGAAAATAACATAACATGGGATAGTTTTTATCTCAAAAATCACCTACAAACCCCCTCGGGTTGGTACGGAAAACCAATTTTGCCACGGAGATGTAACGCGGGTCGGGTACCCACTAGTTACAAATAAATTGAAAAATAACTATCGTATATATTCCTTGGGTTTCAGGACAGAAGGCCAGTTCGCCGCTTTCAACGATTGCCTTTACCGGTCGATGTCGAAAGCTGGCTGGCTACTAGTGATAGATGTGGACGAGGTTGTGGTGCCGCGGCGTGAGAGGAATCTGCCCGCGCTGCTGACAGCCCTCAGGGCGTCCTACAGTCCGCCGTCCAAAGCACCGGCGGCTTTTTTGTTCAGAAACGCATTCTTTTACTTGCGGTGGGAGGTGAGGAACGATTACGAAAAATCTGAAGCAAAGCTTACAGTAAAAATAAAGGACAATGGGCAATACACACCCAGCTCCGCCAACAAAGTAATTAGTATGAATCGATAGATCTATGAAAAACTAGCCTTTTTTATTATGACATAATAAAACATCACACAGTCACACATAAAGATACCACAAACTCTCAAAGTTTCTTAATGTATTGTGAATTTGACGTTCTTGCTGTATCTTAGAAGCAAGCATTGCACCTAGTTACCTTAAGTCGTAAAAAAATATCCTGGTAGTCAAAAGATATGATACCGTAAAAATATCTTGGTAATCAAAACGACACATGGGCATATTTAAGTAGCTAAATAAATTCATTTTTAGTAACTTCATTTTATATTTTTAGTAACCATAATAATATGCCATATTATCATACTATACAAACAGATATACAACAAAGCCTGCCGACCATCCTGCGCTTGCACTTACTGAGCCACCTCAAAACTATTTACGGGGGTTGAAGGACTTGCAGTTGCAAATAGTGGACTCGTCTTATTTCGTTGTGATTGTGCGCTCCCTGTCAATTGATTGATTTTTATCTAACACGCTTTGGACATTGGAACACGATTATCGGTTTTGTCAATTAGTATGAATGAACTGGAATTATGTTTTCTCTGAAGAGTGGACAAGTTTGTGTGATTTGTTGACGCTCCGTTTTACACAGAAGACAATTTACTATAACGAACAAAATGTTTAAAAAACCCCAACCCATGCGGGGATTTTTGGATTTACAAGCGCGGCAGAATACCATAAGGGGGCACCCTTGCACCTTGTGAAGTACTCCTTTAATACCTGAGCCCCTATTAAGGGTCAAAGTAACTTAATTATTTCCCTTGTTTCATTAATGTTCGTTAGTTATAGTTCATGTACCTATTTAACTTAAAATAACTAAAGACCCCCGGAATGGAATTTGATGCGCTTTGGCACAGATGATCATGACTATAATACCTTTCAAACAAATGTAGTTTAAGCCGTGGCGGACGCGGGTGCAGCGCCCATACATTTTTGCCCAATGCCCTTTGTTAGCCGCTTTCAACGATTGCCTTTACCGGTCGATGTTGAAGGCCGGCTGGCTGCAAGTGATAGATGTGGACGAGGCAATGGTGCCGCGGTGCGAGAGTAATCTGGCAGCGCTGCTGAGAGCCCTCAGAGTATCGTACAATCCGCCCTGTCCAAAGTACCGGCAGAATCTATTACTTGAGGTGGTAGGTGAGGACCGATTACGAAAAATCTGAAGCTAAGTTTACAGTAAATAATAATAATAAAAATACTAAGATTCACAAGTTCACATTATAATGTGCAGCATCGTCTGTTTGTATTTTAATGTCTTCGATCGTCGATTGCAGATTCACCCAGAACTAACGGCTAAAAAAAAGCTCACGATAATAAATATTTTGTAACCAATCATAAAACACACTTACAACAACTTATCAAAACATTTTTAGTGCAACAGATTTTAAGCCCAGGGTTTTGTTTTTTTGCAGACAGATTTGCTGCACTGCACCAACCGTCAATCATGAAAAATGTGGTCGTAATTGTTTTGCATCAATGTACTTTTATTTCATCCATTGCAGGATGACGCGGAAGCTCCCGCGCCTCTAGTGACTGCGCGCAAAACGCGCAGATGGGCGACGCCGCACGCGCTCAAGAACCGTAGCAAGTACGCGCTCCGGCCGCGCGACGCCGTCGAGCTGGGAAACCACTTCGTGTGGGAACATGCGCCTGGTGCCACTTCCGCGGGCGTGCCCACTGAGAGGGCGCTGCTGCATCACTACAGAGTGAGTACCGCGCGCTTTACAACGGAAGCTAGTATTGCGCGATTCAAATCCTTCTGCCTACGGAAGCAAGAAAACATAATACATATATTGATTTATATAGACAAGTAAGTGGGTGCCTGCGCTTTCTTGGATGACTGTACTATTATGTCATATGAAATCTTTTAATATGTACTGGGTGTACTCAAATGATCTTGAACTCTCACCTTTCTGCCACCCTGTCAAGAATGCGTCAAGTTATATATAAATTTAACTGTTTCTATCTTAGATTAAAACAAAAAGGAAAGATACAGTACGCTCATACTAGCATCAAATAAAATATGATCCGACTCGATTACATAAGCAATACTCACACACGCACAAGTCTATAAACATTCTATCGAGCGAGTGAGAACTTTCCACTTTAACGCAGCGCGAGCGAAAATGGCGAGTCCGCTTCCGAGTCTGTACGGCTGAGCTGTATTGTTGTCCTTTTCGTGATAACAAAATGGCGATTACGTAAATAACATTCATGACAAACCGTAATTTTTGAGAAGTATAAATGTTTTTACAGTTTTACGACTGAAAAGTGTTGCCGAGGCATTTGTTATTTGATTCTGAACTATTTGTGTTCTTTCTAAAAGCATCGGAGGCATTGTTTTATCTTTATAACACAGAATATACGCAATATTGTTATATTGAGTCTACATGCAGCGTGTTTGAAAGTCCAATTGTGACTAAAGCGAATTGTGGTCATGCAACACAAATTAGGCAGATCACTTTTGAGCCGCGAGTGCCGTATCTTCTCTTTTTGCTTTAATCTAAGGGTTTATATTAATTTCCAGATCGCTTGCGAGTATGGCGGCGTCAATTGTTTAACGGTGCCGTCGACAGTGGACCGCACCGCGCACCGGTGGTCCGAAGAACTGTTGCAACGGGTCACACACGAAAGGGAACTACTCACAAGGGCTTGCCCCGCGTAATTCCTCATAATATTTATATATACTAGCGCTAGCTAGATCATAGTCGCCATCGCGAAAAGGTATAAATTTATTTAACCAGGTATTTTTTGAAAATGCAGACACATCAAATGGCTATTCGTGTTTGGTTTACTAAATTTGACAGCCTCTCTTTTTCATTTCTTAAAGCGCATAATCATGACAAGTATTAGTAAAATATGAATAGTTATGTGAACTTGATTATTCACATAACGACAATGGCTTTTGTTAATTTACCATTTACCCAGTAATAGGAAACTAAAAGTAAATAACAATTTTAATTAGCTACATTTGTGGTTTTTATTGGACTTTTGCTATATATAGCGCGTAAAAATTTGGTTTGCGTTTAAAAGTTAGCGGGTAAATTCAAATTTAGATCATTAGCTTGCCTAAGTTAAATATTTTAATTACACATATTACTTATATTTAATTTTTTCATAAAATCCTAATTGTAGAAGACTCCTAAAATTATTGTATATATAGTTTATGGCTTTTGGTGACGGCGACTTTGTATAAACAAGTACAACAGCTTTAACCATGATGGGTCGTTTTAACGGCGAGCTAGAGTCAAATCTTGACTTTGAATTAAGTACATCTTCGGGCTAGCGAGTATAAGCCATAGACAAAGATAATGGTCTGACCAATACCCAGATAAAATTTACCATAGTCTAGAAAGTGAAAAAGTAATCGATCGAGTTCCTTGGGATAAGTTTTTTAGTTATACCTATTTAGAAATTTAAACATTTCAAGAAGAAGCAGAGTATAGCATTATAACATTTACTCGAACTAAAGTATTGTCAAGGAGACTACAAATTTAACCTTGCAAAAGAAAGTTTTCTACTCCATTGAATATGATAATGGTCGCGTCAGTAACAGTTCTACTGGAACCACTAAGACCACGTCTGTTATAGGTTCTGCTTTTTCCATAATAGCAGCAACAAAAAGTAACCCACAAACGAAAACACTGAAAAATACAATAATTCATGTATATACTTAGACATTAAACAGGATTAATAGGAGACAACACAAATTATTCAACACTTATTTTCACGATAAACTTTGTAATAAAAATTGCTGTAATTTTATAGGCAATATTTTGTAAAGAGATAAGATTATAGGTATGTTTTTAAATTTGCTACTAACCGTTTGTATGTTAAACATAAACCTATAAGCACATGAGTAAAGAAGGCACAAAGTTTTATACAATTTCACGTGTGTGAGTGGGCACTAGAGCCTGTCGCATACGAAAAGAAACGTTTATATTGGCGGCGACAGGCTGCTAATGCTCACTCACACATGAGGACTGCACGAAGCTTTGCCTCAGTGCCTTTTTTACTCATGTAATCTAAGTAAGTAGGTACCTTTGCAATTTGGTCGTATTATATTCTTCTGAAGCTAAGCTCGACTAACGGCTTGTTTCAATCATTCATACTCCAGTAAGGCATAGTTGCGTAGATATGTATTTTTTTATTTACATTCATATAACACCAGGGCCCTATTTCATAAAAATAATACCGTGGTATTTTTTACAATCCGGTCAAAGTTGACAGAAAAATAAGAGTGAATGCATATAAATTATTATCAAGCTGGAAATGAGTAAAATTGTTCAAACCATAATTAAAAATAACATTTCAAAATTCCCGATCGTTGCGGTTCTTGGAAAAAATCGACTCGAGGTCAAAGGTCAAAAAGTGGGTTTGTCGATATTTTAATCAAAACTATGTATTTTGCATTTATGTGCATTTAATAGGGTAAAACATATTAAAAAGATAACGTGTTAAAAATTTGTTACTATAAGGTTGCAACTAAATTAGAGTTTTGTTGATTTCAGTATTTAAATTTATTATAGTGCCTATATGTAATATAGGCACCTACTCTTTAAATTCATCGTCATCACCTATAAATGCACAGGCCGTCTATATGGATGGAATAACGAGAATGGGCAACCCCACATATTGGTGAATGCCGACCGACTTTAGATGAAATCGCAACTTCCTTTTCAGTAAAAAAATTTATTACAAGCAAATTATTATAAGTAATTATATTATTATAAATAATATAGAGCGATACCTAAAACAAATTCACACATTGAAAAATCTATAACTGTTTTAAACCATAAAGTGAAATATTGTCGTTATTCAAATCTGTTACTTGGGAAAAAATCAAATTACGTTACTAAACAGTAGACCAGGGTCGATAATTTTTGAGACCAAAAAAAATTATAGTAGGATGAAACCCAATGGAAAAGGTAGAGAATATTACAAAAATCAAAAAATGACTGTTTGTTTGGGCCATACAAAGGTAAGTTTTCACTAAAGGAGATTGCTCAAATTGGCCCAAATGCATAAAAACTATTGAAATACACGGTAATTCTTGGCGTAATTTATAATTTAATTTACAGTCATTAGATTTCAACGGACACCTTTGTTTAATATATTTACTTTAAAAAGGACTTTTAATTCTACCGGTTTGGAAAACATACGAATCATTTTTAATGGCTATGGGTGTAGTAACATTCAGCCAAAGACTGATCAAAGTTGTTTATATAACATAAAAACAAATCTATTTTGTAAAGATCGATAAAATAAATAATTTTTTTATTACACTGTGGTATTAATATCCACAACTATATTATCATTTTCACTAGATGCAAATGTGCCCAGACAATTATTATAGATGGTAAGCGACATCACAAAGTCTATTGCCATACATTTTCCACCAAACATATCCATAAACACATTATATTCTGTATATATGTTAGACTTTAAGGTATCTATCTATGGGCCTACGTTCCCTGACTATGAATTAATAAATAAATAAAATTATAAGGTGTGATACACTAAAAATCTAAAATATGGTTATCTTAAAAACATAACAAAAATAATGAAGCTCAGTAGCTTCAGTGATAGAGGTACTGAATAGTTTCAGTAGCTAAGTAAGATAACCTTATTTTAGATTTTTAGTGTATCACATCTTATAATTTTATATTCATATAGCTATAGAACTTAAATCTCTTAGCTTTCTTTGGTTAACGAGAGTTTAAACATTCTCTCTAATCTGTGGCTCATTCACAATCATCACACAGTTTCTGTCACAGAGTACCTTATTATAACCGGAAATGACACCTGATTTTAAAAGTTACTCTTATGCATTAACTTTAAAAACAGGCAACTATCTGTTAATCTACATGCTCTATATACCTGAATCTAATCCATAATTTCGGTACTTGGCTTGATTTCCCTAGTTTACTATATAACTTATTTGTTTTTTATTATTTTAATATGTTCAGTGTATATGGTTTATAGAAGTTCTCAGGGGTGTCCGTCAATAATATTCGTTTCTACAGTAATTTATATATAATTTCGAATCTAGGAAACAATTTTTCATGATTATTGGTCTTTAGGCCAAACATGTATGGAAGCTGAGCAATCTCCTTTCGTGAAACAATTTTTTTTTGCAAAAAATAAAAAGCCAAAAACTCGGTTATTCGAATTTTTCACATAAATTTTGAGGTTATGTGAAAAAAGTGTCGATGCAAAAGTTGTAGATCTTTTTATTACCTACAACTTTGCCACTTATTTGTTTTTTCATAGGACTTGCAGTTTTACCAGAAATCGAGACTAACCGTTTTTGACCCTTAAAAACTCAACCCCTCCCCCTTCCCGACCTCAGATCGCCCGTAATTTATTTTTCCTTTCATTTTTGTTATATTCTCTACCTTTTTCAATGGGTTTCATCCTACTATATTTTTTTTTCACTTTTTTACCATTTTTAAAATTATCGATCCTGGTCTAAGGGCGATAGAAGTTGTTTAGACAAAATGCAAAACCAATTAATTCTAAACAAAAAATTGTAAATACTACTTTTCCGATGTAAGAAGGTTTTCAAGGATTTTTTTTAAATTTCTTTATTGATATAATGTAAAAAATATTAGGAGATATAAAAATATAGGTACAATGGCCATAATCAACAGTTTTCATATGTATGAAACTTGAGCTGGCTGTCTTATTTCTCAATAGTTAATGATATATCATCACATTCCCTAATTATGATAAAATAGCAAACATACTTCCAGAGTTTTTATATTCAATAAAAACTATACCTAATTTCCTTTTTTTTGTTAAAGTAACAACCTAGCTAAAAACTAAACTTTTATTTACTACAACTACGGACTTTGAATTTGAATTCAAAAGCTTCTAAAAATGTAAATATATTTATATAAATGGAATAAAGCAAGCTTCTAGTAAACAAAACACCAATATTTAGATAAAGTATGTGCCATTTTTATGATGCTCTTTTAATACTTACTTATAACCAACCAACTGTTTGCTCAATGAGTCGGTAACGTTGTCAGTATTAATGACTTGGATTTATTAGAGTAAATTCAGTCAGTAGTAAATTTTGAATTGAAGTAAGTTATAACAAAAAGTTTGTCATTTAAACCAAAGAATAGTTTATTCATTATTGATTACTAAGAAAGACGTTGTGAAATACCGTTGGTTTATAATTTTCAAGATGAAGTACCTAGTTTTTATTAAAAAAAATATAAATAGGTACAATAATGGCTCATTGCATATTTTGACTGGTTCCATTATTAATTATGATTCACCTAGTGTCCCATCCTTGCTTCCTAAGGCATTCATTAAAGTAATTTACGAATTTTGTTTTTTTACTCAAAGCCTGCCATCACAATTATGAATACTTACAACAAAAGAAAAAAGAATCTTCTCAGATCTCTTGTAATATGTGTCAACTTATTTTTAACATAAGGTTAGACCCTCGTCTCCTCGTCGTATTAATTCGGTGTAGGTATTTTTTCTGGATTTCATATATTATATAATATACGATAATATAAACATTCCGTGAAATATTAATCAAGCAATGGTGAAAATCGCATACTGAAAAGATCTTCAATCTTTTCAGTAATTTTTGAGATCTTCGCTGTCTGTATAGACAGTTGCGGCGAAAAACTTTTCTTAATAATG